TGACGCGACATCGGGCTTACAGGTGTCAAGAATATAAGAACACCCTCTGAGGGCCTGACATGCTGTTCTATATGATGCCAGATATATTTCTTAGGGTAACAGATTTTGCGCAACACATCAGGAAGATGGAGTCAGTCTTGGCCTTAAACATTTGATTCGAAATGGATGAAAAGGCCACCGCCAGTGGGCGTTAACTAGAAGCAAATCAATGACGTCCAAGACTGTGAATGGAACTGGAAGCTTCCTCACTGTTCGTCTATAGAAACGGCGAACCGGATTGCCAGTTTTGTTGTGGTCAAACAAAAGGAGGGTTCACCGCCAAACTACTGGCGCCAGAATCATCTTATTATCGGGTGGCACTTAAATGGATTGGTCACATTAACAGACTTCCGCAAGAGGAATGTTCTGCAAAGAGTTGTTGTTTCCTTTCGGTTTTAAACCGCCAGTTAATGTTTCCGTATTCTGAGCGTGACTTTATCCAGCTCGTTACCTACATATTTTTAATCGGAGTTGCAGTTTCATAACTGAGCATAGTGATGGGCATGAGATGTTTTTGAGAATTTTGTGGCTGCGTGGACAATATTCTTCACAGCACTTGAGGTGGATCCGAAAGATTACTATGCGTATTTGGGCACGAAGCGGGAAAGAAAGGAGCGTTTTTTGAGTACTATGATTAGTTGAACTACCAGTTAGGTGACATTTCCCAAAAGACAACAATTGTAGCGAAATAGGAAGATGTACAACTGAGTACACTTTTTGATGATGAAAAGTGCCAAAAAAACAGCTGCTCACTCTCGGTATTTCCAATTTCGAGGCACATGTTAACCGTGAGTGAAAGCTGGTCCCGTTTTAGTGTCGAACGTGAACAAAGACAGTCCTGCGTGACAATTTAACCAAGCGGCCTGAGGTTGTTCTTGATGTACGTTAGAGAATAAAGGTTGGTATTTCTCTCAACAGCCAATGAAATTCCCAGAATCGTGACATACTCACTGGTGTGAACCGTGGTTTTCCAACTTTCGGCCCATTTGAAATCCGCCGCCAGTCAAGAGGATATCCGGCGTGTTGCCAAAGGCTCCATCTAAGTACGTAATTAACAAAATTTGCATTCGGCAGATTGCTGTGTGAATAATATACATACTGAATGTTTTCCAAAACTGGTACAGAGCATCTCAGGCTCATGAGTTTTTTTTAGATTATGATGAGGAACGCTCTTCGAGGCGCGAGGACACGAAATTCATATTTTTACGTCGGCGGTATTATCCCCCGTGTTTTGGGTAACGAGTTTATTGTCAGGTATAAGAAGTCCCAAAATTGTTTTGGCTACAGAATCGCTTGCAATATTTGGTAGCTAATCACATCTCCCGGCGAAATGAGTTGTCAAACTTCACTAAAAACGGTCTCCTGTTACGAGGCATTAGCTACCCTAAAAAAACCAATGCTTAGGTAAACCGCTTACATGATGAAGTCGCAGATAAATGCATTAGTTATAAACATGTATCTTTATCACTCTGTATCTATTCATGTCTATTCATCAAAAACTTAAAATTTCGAGAAGCCCTCTACATCAGCCGGACACTGGTCGCCGCTGATCGTTATTTAGGAAATGTGAGTGATTCCTCTGAAACTACGATTTTTTGAGCTTGCCACTTCGTAGTTAATGATAGATATGCCTAATGCGTTTTGCTGCAAATTTTCTATATGGATGACCTGTTTATGTAGGTGAATCTTCAAGGTCAACTTTTACACCAAGGTTGAAAACAGCGCCTAGTCAAATAATATATCTCGACTTGCAGTAAAAATTGATCTGCTTACAATGGGCGAAATTTGCATAGAGCCCCTCAGTTATGGTAGTTCATGGAGGTCTTGAACCGTAATTGTACACGCTGAAACAAAAAAATGCGGGTGACACCCATGTAACTTAATCATTTTGAGAGATGGTAACCGTGGACGCATTCATATATTTGAATAACTCGTGAAAGGTTAAAGGAACATAAGACCTGAAGATGATGATGACTTACACGGCGTCACCGTTAGTGACTGATTCGTGCCACGTTATTCCTCGTAGCTGATGCGTGCTAGGCCCCAAGAAGTAGGAGATATTACCTGACATATACGACGACTCATCAACGGATGATCAGACGCGAACTGGTGGCCCCTACGTGCGTCACCTGAAATAATNGGATACCTTCTTCGAAGACCTTTTGGCAAGCACTTCTGTGGACATTCCAAGGGGGGCCGGAGGCTGCGCAACAAACTGAACTAAGCACATGTGCACACACCCTTGGGGAAAGCCCGAATATCATCGCGGCACAGCGGGTGAGATTCACCAACACAAAGATGACGTGATATGATAAGCAACAGTTTGCACACCGACAGACCATTCAAATACTCCCTATCCTCGACTACCGAAGGTAGGTGGACCGTCACAGACGCCATGCTGGTGGCATCAATCTGGTGAGCTAAGTTACGTAAAGAATTGTGGGCGCATAAGAGGTAGAAATGCCGTAGAAAGTCTTGCTGAAATCCTTGTGCAGGTATCGTAACAACCGTATGACCTCTTCTATGGCCTTGGTTGAGCGAACCATGTCAGCTGTTCGCAGAGTTTACGAGCAAAATGGACGAAAGTTAGTACCTGTTGCTTCCTCACTGCTTTGAAAATACGAAAACGGTACAGCGTAACATCGCAGCCGGGATTTGCACCGCACTTTCATCCACAACGAACAGCTTCATTTAGCTAGGACGAAAGGCATGTTATCTTCCACAATGAAAACCAGCTAGCAGTTATCAGTTGAACACACTCACTTGCTCAATTCATCGACTACAAGCTGCCCCATCTCACATTGCAACAGTTCATATACCAGCAAGGCATTTTAGGCGCCGAACTTCTTTTAGATTAGCCGTCCTTTTACCGGCAGTCGAGCGCAAAAAACTTCATCCTCTGATGACTGCGGCCAACACAACAAGATGTGACTGAGAGATGGTTCTCACGCATCCTTAGGTAAAGTCGTTCTGGAAAATCGGTGCTTCATGTACTATTATCGAATTCACTCAACGTATTAGCAGTCTCAGATTCCGTTGGTTTCACTGACCACCTTGTCTTTTCAGCACACCAGCCCGTAGTGAAAACAGAACTTGACTTTTCCTCCAGCATCAAGCATGTAATTATCACTCACGCCTCATTAAACACCGAGATGGATGAAAGCGTAACAAGCGGTACCTTTTGAACAAGCAGATCCCAAGCCAATCCAACAACTTTCTGAACAATAGCTACGATAGAAAGTGCATCAAAATTTGTGAGGGCAGATAGAAACATTCCAACGAAATTAGAGCAGATTTTGGTTGTTTTAGCTGTGCACACATGCTGTATAGTGGAAAATTTTCGCGCAAATTTTTCATTTGCCAGTTTTTTGAGATCGCGTATGCCAGACGAGGGCCATCCTGATGGAGATCGTTGAGCGCACAATGCCCATGGTTGCAAAACCTTTGTGATTGGAATTAAAATTATACGCCACCCTGGGTTAACATTTCCGCAGCCCACCAAAGTTTGTTGTTCTTTGGCGAGGAAGTACTAGTGAGATATTTCTTCTAGTACCACAGGGAGCCCGAACGCCTAGATAAGCTCAAAAGTTTGGACCGGTACACCGGCCTCAATTGTCCGTCTGTTTTGGCTCGTCAATGACGAATGACAGCTTTCGAAAATTCAATTCCATTGTGCGGATAGTGAGTGCGCTCGGTATTTGCACAATGGAATTGAATCTTCGAAAGCTATGACGTGCTCCTGATGGAATTGGGTAATCGGGCAGCTGCGTTCAGAGTATAAGTTCAAACGTTTGAGCTGTATCTGGTGATCTCACCAGGCTTTTCTGCCAGAGATATTATTACTTCAGTGGACAATGAAATTAGGTGAGCCGTACGGCTAATGACCCAGAAACTGAGCACCCAACTTGATGGAGCCTAGGCCGCGCGCCAATCGCAGGTTGTCCCAAAAGCGGAGTTAACGCAGGATTCTTATCAACGAACCCTTCGGTTCTTATTTATTTGAGAAGTTGATGATTGTGGCGCTTGTGAAGCCTTTAGTTCCGCAGCGACCTGGTCGCCAAAGAGATCATAACGGCGGCTATTCAAATGATATCAAAGCGAATTCCATTCCCATTTATTCGCGAATTCCATTCCCATTAATTCGCTACGAGAATGATGATACACTTTCCCAGTACCCCCATCAGAATGTAATACAAATACTATTCTACATGTTGTTTCAATAGCCTACCATATTTCATGGCCCTGTAAGCAGAAACACCTGGATACGCTTGAATAATGCGCACACCTCATCCAGTGCTAGACATACAGTAAGCATCAAATGAATTTAGTAACATCGTGTTACAGGTTTCGAGTCTGCCGTTCCACCCCGATCATCTGGACTTCCATCTACACGCAAATTATGATCATCACAGTGACTGGTGGAAATCAAACGCCGAAGCATTAGTGCAGGTTGAAACAGAAAAACACTTATGGTGAGTGTAAGACATAAGGTACGTTCTACCCGGGCATCAGTATTCTGGCTGCTAATTTAGCCGAGGTCGGTGGGTCAACTAGGTCAGTCACAGTTATGGCGTGATCACAGATGTCTAAGTATACTGAAACTTCTGAGTACACTTACTGAAATATATTTCAACATACTAGCTTAGCACTTCGAGGTTATCAGCCAGTGAAGCACCGCTATCCAGTGACTGTAAGCATATACTACAGATGAGCAATAGGCCGATGGGGACTGTTCGAAAAACATATGTCTATATAGCCATTGAATAAGTTCGGAAGTGCCCGACCCGAATGGAAGCCACCAAATGACATGTACTAGGCAATCTGTGTCTGACAGGTATTTCATGAAGGTTCATTTAGATTCGTGGAGATACAGGAAGAAGAAAGTAACTTCACATATACTCATTAACCCCCAGAACACTGTCACAAAGCCATGGTGATCGGTCACATCTAGAGTAAGATCCGTGAGGGCTCAGGTGTATATCCAATAGAGTTTTGAAAATCTCCGGGGCTGAGCAGTGACAACCGCATTAGGAAGACTACCTTGGTCGTTCAGCACGCTGGTTGGTAGAGTGGGTCCGCTTCCTAGCTTAACACAGCGGCCCATAGTCAAATCGTATGAGTCGAATGTGTGGAATTTGCGGATGTCTTTGACAAGTTCACTTTCAAAAACGCATGCTATACAGATTAGGTTTTACGTCAACTGCGATAATCCTGTCAACACACTCTAGTTGGCTCAATACGCTTATTGCCGGATGTAAGAGCCGCATGACAGTTTCCGTACCACGGTGTGGGACTTTTCCCTGCATGCCGCGTTAATGTTCGCCCTTTGGAAAGACTACTGGCACTTAGTCTCAAGAAATGGACGTAGTGTGGAGGTTGTGGGGTCATTTACATGAACTGGTTTCTAAGCAAGGCCAACCGTCTGATACGGTTTATCACGGTGAGAAGCAGTTTCACTGTCAGGGGCAATTGCGATACAAATATTCATTCAGAGACTATTCTGTAGCCTTGTGTAATTTATCTGCCATTTGAACGTTGGTTAATTAAGACAAGATCTTTAGATCACTGGCTGGGAAATCCGTGAGCATAATGCTGATGAAAGACGAAAAGGATGGGTTTCAAAAACAGCTTTGAACTGGGCATCCGAAATGTTTTAGGACAAACTTCTCTCGCTAGAACGAGTATAACACAAAATTTCACGAAGTCAAAACGACAGCGAATGGTTTTTCCAGATCTAGGAATGTCCCAAAACTCAGAGAATTCTTATTGAAAATTTTGTTAAACGCCTCACTGTATTCTTTTAAGATAGCATCAGAACATTTTCAGTCGTCACCTCTCGCCACAAAACGATTTAAAATGCAAGAACTAGGCATTTAGAATTTGTGCTCAGCTATCGAATTTTGTGGTGGCTTCAACAACTGGTTTTTAGAACAGATTGCTTCGTTTTGAGATCGGGGCTCCTTGTCAGTAAAAAGAGTTGTAGAGTTACAGCTATTGAAAATTTGTTAAACGCCTCACTGCATTCTTTTAAGATAGCATCAGAACATTTTCAGTCGTCACCTCTCGCCACAAAACGATTTAAAATGCAAGAACTAGGCATTTAGAATTTGTGCTCAGCTATCGAATTTTGTGGTGGCTTCAACAACTGGTTTTTAGAACAGATTGCTTCGTTTTGAGATCGGGGCTCCTTGTCAGTAAAAAGAGTTGTAGAGTTACAGCGTTAATGATGCTAGTATATAACGTCCATTTTTCTCACAGACGTATCTGAAACTTTTTCGCTGCTGCCTGAATAAACGTGGGTCATAAAATGGAAGAAGATATATTCTAGCATCATTAAC